GCTCAGAAAATACCTCTTTTCTGTGCTCCAAATATCCGCAATTTTTCTTCTCCTCCAATTTTCTCTTCCAATTGTTCCATATATATAGAAATCCTAAAATCATAAACATACTAGGAATTTTAAACCAAAACCAAATCAAATTAGGAATCCTAATAACCTATTACCAAAATAGATTAGGAATCCTAATAACCTCATGTTACCAAAATAGACTAGGAATCCTAATAACCTCATGTTACCAAAATAGATTAGGAATTCCCTATCCAACAATTCTCCACCTCGGCGAAGTTTTCCCAAAACTGAGCCGACACCGACCAAACCAAATGTCTCACTTGTTGCGTCCAGTACGCCACGGCAACGGACTCATGACAACAGACTTCATCCACACAAGTCGAGACCCAAACGGGAGTGCGAACACTCACCCAAATGTCGATATCTACTCACCAAATCGGCTGCATCAAAACTGACTGCCTACGTATCCTCTTGCCCAAGGAATCAAGTCTTCACGTAGTTCACCCAAATGGCCTCCAAAGGCCTCAATCCACTAGAAGAGTTCGCAACCCTTCTCTAATATCACGATCAAGTCTGCGGCTGATAGCACCTCCAATGGCTCCAAACTGAACTAATCCAAACATCTCCACCTGAGATGAACCAATGGCCATATCCAGACTACATCCATCAGCTGTACTCGAATCAATCAACCTATCATCTGCATCCAAATCAACACGATTCTCAATCTGTGTCACATCAGCTGGAATCCCAAATGATGCAGTATGATCTGGAGTTTCCTCCCAATGTGGAGTAGCATCACTCTCCACCCGCTGTGATGTCCCAAAGATCTGATCACCACTCTCCACCTGCTGAGAGTCAAACGTGACATACCTGCTCAGAACAAAGTCAGAAGCCAATATCTGATAATCAAACACGCCTCTGAATCTCAAATGTGCTATCGGATCAAATCTCACATCCACGATGTGACCGAGTGCTGGGTAGCCAAACATCCGACGCAACCCAAAATCTGAAGCAGCTCCACCAGATCCCATATCTATACATGCAGCAGTTGGCAACCTGTACATGAGATGGCCCAAACATGTCGTAGCCTGCACACCAATGCCAATGCTCGACATCAAACGTCGATCCTCCTCCAGAAAGGATCAGCTACCCAAATCTGCCATCTCGCCTTGTCACCTCAAAGTTTCCACACCAATGAAGTGTCACAAACTGCCATGAGCTCGGCACAAATACAGTAGGTCCCTCTTGTACCTCCTTCTACAACCAGAATGAAGTACATTCACCTTACTCCCAATACACTTCTTCAACTGTTGTTGACTACTAGGACTTCAAAACCAACGGGATTTGGTTGCAACCTACAAATGCCTAGTATAATCCCCAACATAGGAAACCAAAATATCAATTTACCTTCCAATGATGCCTCCTTGGAAGGCCCCTAAATACCTGAATGAACACCAAATAGAAGACCCTTCAATCATCAAACAGAAGTGCTAAACTCCACCTCGGTCTCCTTGCTCATACCAACGTGCTCAAAAGGACTTCAATATGCAGGTCAAGGGCACTTCTCAATAATCCAATACACCATATTAATAAACAAATAACCCAGCCTCAAATCCTTCTATCTCGGCCAACTATCTCAAAGCACCAACAAATTAAGAATAGATCCAAACTGATAAAGGAGAGAATTTTACCTCCAAATGAAACCCTAACAAGAGTCTCCAAACGATCTCACCCCGCACGACGGCAACGAGATCCACAAATAGGAAAAATCTCACCTTTATCTCCAAACGAAGCCCTCGAAGAGCCTCCAAAGCGATCTACTCCTCCAAATAGCCCAAGCGCCAACAAACCAATGCGGAATAAACGAAGAATAGATCCAAACTAAAAAAGATAGAGTCTTTACCAAAAAGATCCCACCTTTCTCATCAAACAAAGCCTTAGCCGAACTTCCAAATTGATCTACTCCTCCAACCAAGATAAAACCCTAGATCTGAAATCTGGAGCTCTGATACCAATTGTTGTGCGCGTCGCGGAAGCGGGACAACCAAACGGGCGTGCTTCGAGAACCAAATCAAACAAACGTCGAGATAAAGGCCAAACAAATCAAAACAACGGCACAAATCCAAACACAATAGTTTTATGTGGTTCGGCAATTGCCTACGTCCATGGGGCAAGAAGGGGATAGGGTTTTCACTAATAGAGAAAGAGTACAAACTGAGATTACAAATCACTCGAAGGAACAAACTAATCTCACCAACAAGCTCTTAATCTCTCCAAACAAAACCCTAAACAAATAGCTCAGAAAATACCTCTTTTCTGTGCTCCAAATATCCGCAATTTTTCTTCTCCTCCAATTTTCTCTTCCAATTGTTCCATATATATAGAAATCCTAAAATCATAAACATACTAGGAATTCTAAACCAAAACCAAATCAAATTAGGAATCCTAATAACCTATTACCAAAATAGATTAGGAATCCTAATAACCTCATGTTACCAAAATAGACTAGGAATCCTAATAACCTCATGTTATCAAAATAGATTAGGAATTCCCTATCCAACATAAGCGACCTTCCTCTCTTTAATAAAACAGACTAACTTTGAATGAGATGTGTGTTTTTCTTCTTGGGTGCGATTTTGGGCTAGGTTATTGAGGGGAAAAAAAAATTTGTATGTGTTTTAGTTCAAAGATACAGATTCTTAGTAGAATTCATATACATCTAGTCACATGAACATATAAACAATAAAAGAAAAATAAGTGGATAAAACACCTCTTAAGGAAGATATACTTCAAGACACTTTATGGATCAAAATTCCTCTATGGTCATGTTGATGTTGATGGTAAAATTTTCTACAAGTTTCTTTCCAGTGTAAACAAGCAAGTTATTTGAGAAATCTATTGGCCATCTTATCGCAAAGCTTTATTCAACTTTCATAGTTAAAAATGATTGCCCCGGAGTAGCAGCTAAGCATTTAATTGGGAGAGATGGGCCTTTGGTTATAAATGGGGCCTTTAATAGGTCTACCCAATTATAAATAATGGGCTTTCAAGTATACATTCTAGGCCGTTAGTGGAATAGCTCTATTAATGAGGGGCCACCTACTTTATTTAGTTATTTATTTATTTGACAAAGCATATCAAAGCCGTTTTGAGTAACGCGGCTACAACAATTCCTATATTAAAAATGATAGAGACACACCCTTAGGCACACCACCAACCACACTCCTCCCTTTTACTACAGTGCAGCAGCCCCACGTGTGATTTTTCACATGTGGGGCTGCTGCACTGTAGCAAGAGGGGGAGTGTGTGGTGGTGCACCTAAGGGTGTGCATGTAGCGCCTCCCTTCTTATATTAAAGTTAACAGGAAGTTGCCATGAAAATAAAAAAAAGTTAACAGGAAGTCCAACTTTTTATTGAAACGGTACAGCTGGCTTAGCTCCTGACTCTTTTTTTTTCAACCTTTTCCCTTGAGGGGCTGTTTGTTTGCGCAAATAAAGAGAGAAATGAGGGGTTTGAAATCTTACAAGAAGACCACATATGATTTTGGTTTCAAGACTTTCCATTTCCTACGTTTGGTTCGCTGGGTGATTTAAAGAAATGGGGGGGTGAAATGGGTTGCCACATCAGATTTTTAAGAAAACATATTTCAGACTAAAAGTGATTGAAATGGGTTGAAAATGTCACGTCTGGCATATTTAAATATTTAAAGCATTATTGAAATGACGGCTTGAATTAAAGAGGAATATCTAATGTCCTATCGTTGAATATTTAATTGGAAAACTCATTTGATTTTTTAATTTCTGAATGTTCAAACATACCCAAGAAATGGAAAACAATGTTTTTCAGCCTATGATTTCAATATGAAAGAAACTAAAAAAAAGAAATGGGGGAAACCCTCTAAAATGTCAAGAAATATTTTCCATCATAGTTTTTTGTTTTCTTTTTTTTTTCCCAAAAATGTACCAAACAGCCCGTGAATAAAGTGTGACCCAAAGATAGGGGGATTAATTAAATTGCCTCTTAGCAGAGAAGAGCTAAGAATTTTGAGTTGAGTCCAAAATAATTTTTTTTTGCGTGTTGATTAGTAGTTTAAAATAATTATATAACTAGACCTTCAAATAAAATTTTAAATTTAAATATAGTATTTACAGTAACATTAATCTTACCTTAATTTCTTAAAGTTATTACATTTTTAATAGTTTTTATTGTTGAATATACTTTGTAACCATACTTTTCATTGCAACGAACAAAATTAATGTTAACTCTACCAACCAAGTCTACATCCAACTTATATAGACTAAAGGATTTAGGCCAATTTTTTTATCCTAGGTATTATAATCTTTGGACTATATTTAGTCCAATATAATGTTTGATTTCACACGTACTAATATTCGCAATAACTTTAGATAATCCTAGCTAGTGTTTGTTTTTAAGAGCTCTGTGATTGATCGGAATAATACTATAACCATAATGACTCTTTTGCCCCCAAGTCAATTAATATTGTATTGCTACATGTGTTTGGCAAAATTTTCTAAATTTGGGCATGATGGCGTCATACAACGGTGCTTAGGGCATATCCAACCCATCGCATCAAAATGGTACAAAAGTCACATCTAACAGTAATTCATCTCCAACCTATTGTACCATTTTTTGCACCAAAAAAGAATATTCTCAATATATTCTTTTTTATCTACTTTTATATTATTATTTTTTATTCCCTATATTTTTAACTATTTCAACAATTAACCCCACATATCAAATTTTATTTTTTTCACATATTTTTCAAACAAAATGATTTATTATTTAAAAAATTAAACTAATAAAACAATAAAATATTATTTTATTAATTAAAATAACTTGATTGCTAAAATATTATATTTTTATTATTGATATTGCCAAATTATTACATTTAAGAACACAACAGAAAATAAAATACAAGAAAATAATTAAACATTAACAATAATGTAAAAATTACAAATTTAATATGCACTTAACTATCTGAAATAGTATATTCCTCCCATAAATTATCTATCAATGCATTACGAAGCGCAATATGGGCATCTTTATCCTTGATTTGTCTGTAACGTGCAATAAATTGAGTAAATCTTGTAGTTTCATCTGCTACGATATCAACTTCTGGTGTTGGTGCTTTCCTCACTTCTTGAATTGGTGCATAAAGGTCACGTTCATCCTCGATTATCATATTGTGCATAATAATGCATGCAGTCATTATGTCATGTAATACATGTTTTTTCCAAAAACGTGCTGATCCTGCCACAATTGCAAATCATGATTGGAGAACTCCAAACGCACGTTCTACATCTTTTCTACATGCTTCCTGTTTCATGGCAAAATATTTTTTTCTTCCTACTTTGTGGCTGTTGGATTGTTTGTACAATAGTAGCCCATTTTGGATATATACCATCAGCTAAATAATAACCCATACTATACTCTTTTCCTTGAATAACATAGTGAGCGGGAGGAGCAATACCTTGAGCTAGATTAGAGAAAAGATTAGATGACTCCAGCACATTGATATCATTATTGGTGCCTGGCATACCGAAATATGCGTGCCATATCCAAATATCATAATCTGCCACAGCTTCAAGGATAATAGTTGGTGACCCACCACGTCCTGCGTATTGCCCAGACCATGCCGTTGGACAATTTTTCCATTTCCAATGCATACAATCAAGACTTCCTAACATTCTTGAAAAACCACGTTTTTACCAATATAGAGTAGCCTAGCAATATCGTTAGCGTTAGGTGTTCGTAGATACCGCTCTGCGAATATTTCCACCATAGCACGACAAAATTTTGTCATACTTTCAATTGCTGTTGACTCACCTATTTTAACGTATTCGTCCGTAGCATCAGCTGGTAGACCGTATGCCAACATACGAAAAACAGCTGTTACTTTCTGTAACGGTGATAATCCCATTCTACCAAGTCCATCACTTCGTTGTTGGAAGTAATAGTTATGATCTTTCATTGCATCAACAATACGAAGGAACAAACTTCTTGACATCCGATATCAACGATGAAACATATCTTCTCCAAAACGTGGATTATCGGCAAAGTAATCTATGACTGAATTCTGATGCGCATTTTCTCGATCGCGGTTGATCACTGCATGACCGGGAATCGAGCCACCATGGATCGGTTGGTAGTTTTGTTAACGTAAATTGTTAACGAGGATCATGTTGTTGTTGATGTACTCACAAATTACTTCTTCGGTTTCATCAATCTCTACAATGATATTGGACAGAAAATTATCATCATCCGAAGATGAAGATGATGATAAATATGATGGACCTCCAGCATCGAAATTCATTTTTAAAGTAAGAAAAAAATGACTGAAGTATGCAGAAATGGAGAATAATAATTTTAACACAACAATGAGTAATTGTGTGGATGTACCAATAATTTTAACACAACAATGAGTAATTGTGTGGATGTACCTAATCTAGTATGCTATTTATAAAACTTTTCTTAGCTGTATACATTGAACGTAATTGTGTGGATGTACCTAATCTAGTATGCTATTTATAAAACTTTTCTTAGCTGTATACATTGAACAATGTGTAAAGTTGAGCTGATTTCAGGAAATGCTTTCCAGTTGTTATCAATTTATCACAAAATTCAAATTTGCTTAGCTGTATACGTTGGACAATGTGTAAAACTGAGCTGATTTTAAAAAATGATTCTCACTCGTATAAAGCTTTCACACAATTCAAGGAAAGTTGAGCTATGTATACGTTGGACAATGTGTCAAACTGACCTGATTAGGGAAAATGATTCCCACTCGTACAAAGCTTTCACACAATTCAAGGAAAGCTGAGTTGTGTATACGTTGGACAATGTTTAAAGCTGACCTGATTTCAAAAAATGATTCCCACTCGTATAAAGCTTTCACACAATTCAAAGAAAGCTGAGTTGTGTATACGTTGGACAATGTGTAAAGCTAACCTGATTTCAAAAAATGATTCTCACTCGTACAAAGCTTTCACACAATTCAAGGAAAACTGAGCTGTGTATACGTTGGACAATGTGTAAAGCTGGCCTGATTTCAAAATTTGATTCCCACCGACAACGTTGGACAATGTGTAAAGCTGATCAGTTTGTACAAAACGATTCAATTTCAAATGTTGACCACCGACAAATTCAAATTCAAACAAAAAAACAAATTTGGATTGGTTATAAATAACATTCACGAATTCTACTTCAAACCACCCAATTCGAAGTATTTCTTCAAAGTATTTCTGATCTCCAAACCAACCGCTTTTTACAAAAAAATGTCTGTTCGATCAACTGGATACACGGTTACTGAAGATGTGCTCCTTTGTCAAGTATTCTTGGATATTTCTCAAGATCCTATTATCGGTAGAAACCAGTCTCGAGATGCATTTTGGTCTCGTGTGGAGGACAAATACAAATGTCTGGAATATGGTTAAAATTTTTGAAAAATTCAAAGATGATGTCCCTACAGCAAGACAAGTTGGTCGAAGACAATCCCAAAGTGTGAACTTCGACTCGTCACAATCAGATAATCCCACTCCGGAATCTCCTATATCAACATCTCCTGGACTGTCATCATTTACTCCATCTCAACGACCTATTGGGGTAAAAAAAAGCCAAATTGAAAAGGAAAAATGATGATCATGAGTCAAGTGTAGTGGACTCCATCGAGACCTCCAACAACCGACTTATAGACAGGTTAGACAATGTGAGCTTAGACAGGCAAGTAGCATTTGATATCGAACGAGAAAAGATAGCCATGAAAAAAGATAGAGATGAATGGAAAATTATAATGAAAGATTTGAATTCCATTGCTGATCCAAATGTGCGTGAGTACGTTCGAGCTCAACAGATTAAAATAATACAAAAAAAATCAACAAGAACAAGGGTCTGATTCTAATTTTGGCAATTATTTCAATGATATTAGACACTCTGGCCCTGATCTACCAGATTATTGAGAGTTGCTTGTCCATCTTATGTAACGTCACCATGTTTAGTTTGTATTTTATATTTTATTTTAATGAAGTTTTATATTATGTGTGTCAGTTTTTATATGTTATGTATTTCAGATATGTAATTTATATTTGAATTATGTATTAGGATTGCTCTTTATATTTCATGGGACTTTACTTATAATGTCTAGATTTTAATATTATAATTAATAATAATGTCTTTTAAATTTTAGCATTATTTTTATTTTTAAAAAAATAATTTATTTTGTCCAAATTATACAATTGGGGTAAAATTATAAAATTTAAATATTATTGGGGTTGTTTTATACATTTAATGAAACAATTGGGGTCAAATTATAAATATATAAAAGTATGAGGTAAAAAAATTGAAAAAAAAACAGTAATTGGGGTGATGAACAGTGCGACGCCAAATATGGCGTCGCGCTATTCATCACCGCCAAAATGCGGCAAAAAAAGGCGCTGGGTTGGAGCTCACGCACAGCGGCAAAACCACTTTTTGCCCCAAAATGCCGATGCGTTAGAGATGGTCTTATCTAACACATATCGAAAGTTATGATTCGTAGTTGTTTTCAATTTTCACTTGAATTGATTATAATTTTTTAGTAAATAGTAAACGCATGACTAATGATAATAATTCCTTGTTATTGTTGGATCATGAGAAGGATACAGATCCTCTAGAAAGCATTACAATTGTTTTTTGATTTTATCCACTATCAACAATGTTGGATAGCAGTATTCCTAATCTATTAGGATTCCTAATCTATTTTGGTAACATGAGGTTATTAGGATTCCTAATCTATTTTGGTAACATGAGTTTATTAGGATTCCTAATTTGTTTTGTTTTTGGTTTTAGGATTCCTAGTCTGTTTTGATTTTAGTTTTTCTATATATATGGAGATTAGAACCAATCTATACTACTTCTAAAAGAGAAAACCAAAGTCAAAACTTTTCCATACCCAAATAACCCTCTGCAAATTTCTTAATTCTAATTTTATCCTATATATATTTTATCCCTCTTCCCCCTAATCCCGACTCTACATCCTCCCTTCGTTAGCCGCTCTCTCTCCTGCCCCTCTCCCTCTCTTTGATAACGTCAAAGCTGATTCTCTCCCCTGCCCCTCTCCCTCTTTCTTCGATAACGCTCAAATCCCTTTACCCTCTCCCAGAGCCGGTCCTGGGTTTTCTAAGGCCCAGGGCAAATTTTCTCAAGTGTGCCCATTTATACAAATTAAACAAACAAATAAATAAATTATCAATTAATTAATTTTATTAAAATTATAAGATTTTATAAAAGACAATCTTCTTTTCATTGCATTAAAAGAAGGAAAAAGAGTACCCCCGGATTGTAAACATTGCATTAAAAAACAAAAACTACATATTTGAGTCTACATGCTTCCTCCCAAATCTCCATAAGCATTTCTTGATTTGATCAGTCTTCTTTTCATCCTCCACAATTAATCGAAGCACAGAATCATCACATGTACCTACAAAATAAAAATAGCAATGAAATCTCAACTACAAAACATCATTTAAAATGTCTTCTTGTTGCACTTTTAGATGCAAAATCATCAATTATACTATCATATTTAATGTTCTCTAACATATCCTTTTCAATGCATAATATCGCTAATCCATTTAGCCTATCTTGAGTCATGGTGGTCCGCAAGTAAGATTTCAATAATTTTAATTTAGAAAAACTTCTTTCAGCAGATGCCACAGTCACAGGTATAGTCAATAATATCCTATAAGCAACCATTACATTAGGAAACATATCCACACTCTTTACAAACTCAAGAATTTTAATGGATGTCCATGGTTTATCTGTTTCATATGCTTCTTTTGGTAACATCACTTGCAACACCTGTAATTCTGAAAATAAGTCTCTTGCATCAACATCGGAAACATCACCATGTTTTAAAGCATTTTCAAGATTCACACAAAAACTTTTTAATTCATTATCATCAAGCGAAGTCAATTTTGCAGCATCAAATAAGAACCCAAAAATAGATTCAAAACAATGCAATTGTTCAAACCTACTCTTCAATTCACCAAGAGCAATATCCACTATAACAAGAAAATAATCAGTTCTAAATGATTCTTCAGCTGATTGTTGTTCCCTATCACTATTGGAAACCTCATCAAAATGCCTTTTTCTACAAACTTGACGCTTTTTTGGAAATATAGGCTCAATCCCCATATCAAGGGAAATTTGTTTAGCATCGATCATGGCAGAAACAAACCCATTTATTCTATAGTTTTCAAAAAATAACACAAGTCCTTCTAATTGTCTTACAGCAGCATCAAGACGCATGTCTTCAGATTGTAACTTTTTACTAACTAAGTTAATCTTATGCAAAATGTCATGCCAAATAACCAAACTTAATATAAATTCAAAACTTGAAAGCTCTCCTGATGCTAAACTTTGAGCATCCCTACTCAATTTGGCATCTTCACTAATTTCTGTTAATTTAAATAAAGCTTCTCTAATTTGGGAAGCTTGAGATTTTATTGCTTTGACACTTTCAATGTGACTTTCCCAACGTGTAGTTGACAATGATTTCAAAGTCAAACCATCTATGTAATCAAGTAACACATTCCATCGCTTTGTTGAATTAGAGAATACCGTATATATGCATTGACATGCTCCAAAAAAAGATTTTGCTTTAACACATGAGTTGGCCATATTACAAACTATTAAGTTGAGACAATGAGAACCACATGGCATGTAAAATGCTCTAGGATTTATATCAAGTAATCTTTTTTGTACACCTAGATTTTTTCCTTTCATATTAGAGCCATTATCATAACCTTGTCCCCTCACATCATCAATATTAAGTGTAAGGGACTCAATTACATTTTGCAATTCATTAAAAAGTCCTAATCCAGATGTATCTTCAACATTCAGAAACTCTAAAAAGTACTCTTCTATATTTATTGGAGTACTTGAAACATCTACACACCTCAATATTAAAGTCATTTGTTCTTTGTGACTTGCATCAGGAGTACAATCAAGAATGACAGAAAAATATTTAGCTGT